TGCCAGATAAAATTTCCTGACAGTCTGCTCAGTTATGTTTGAGGCTGCTTCGGCTTCTATCCACTTGCTGAAGTAGTCGATTCCGATTATCAGCCACTTTTTCTGATAAGGAGCCTCAGGAAACGGACCTAGAATATCCAACCCCCATTGAGCAAAAGGGAGTGGATTCAAGATCGGCTGAAGGTCTCTCGAAGGCCGATGGATAACTGGTGCGAATTTTTGGCATTTTTCACATTTCTGCACCAAGTCCTTGGCATCCTGGATCATGGTTGGCCAGTAATACCCTACCCGCAATGCTTTATGGGCCAGGGTCCTTCCCCTTATGTGGTTTCCACAGATGCCGAAGTGGATCTCCCGAAGGATGTAATCTGCATCTGTTGGACCCACACATTTCAGCAGCGGGGCTGAAAAGGACTTTTTCAGCAGTTCCCCATTATAGACAATGAACCTTGGGCCGACCCTTTTTATTTTTACGGCTAGGTTCCTGTCCTCGGGAGCGTTCCTTGAAGCTTATAAGCCAGGATGGAGTCCATCCAGCTCGGTTCAGCTTCGACACATTGGACCTCAATTTCTTGGTCAATGCTTCTGTTTCGGCGTACTTCCACATATACGAATCGGTTCAGCTCAGTAAGAGTTGAACTTGCAAGTTTGGATAGTGCGTCGGCTTGAGCATTCTGACCCCTTGGGATCAGCTCAATTTCAAAAGTTCTCAACTTCGCTATGACTGACTTGATCTTGGCGAGATAAGAGATCATGGAGGGCTCTTTGGCCTCATATTCGCCCCGAATCTGATTAGCGACCAGCTGAGAGTCTGTCTTCAAACAGACATGCTCGGCTTCGAGAGCTATGCATAGTTCTAAGCCAGCGACTACTGCCTCGTATTCTGCTTCGTTGTTAGAAGCCTTGAACGAGAATTTGAGTGCATACTCGAAGTTTTTGCCTTCGGGAGAGGTGATTACTACCCCAGCTCCCGAACCATTTATAGTGGCTGAGCCATCTGTAAACACAGTCCAAGTCCCCTTCTCTTCGTCGAGTGTTTCCTGATAGGAACATTCGGCTAGGAAATCTGCTAAGGCTTGGGCCTTAATGGCTGCCCTCGGCTGATAGCTTATGCTGAACTTAGTGAGCTCGAAGGCCCACTTTGTTAGCCTGCCTGACTTTTCAACCTTGCCGGATTTTTTCCAGCGGTTGATCTGTTAAGACCACTATCTGATGTGAGTCAAAATACGGTCTTAACTTCTGAGCTGCCACTACCACTGTATATGCAACCTTTTTCGAGCAGGGGGTAGCGCGTTTCGGCATCAGTCAAAGTATGACTGACGAAGTAGATCGGTTGCTGAACCTTTTCTTCTTCCCTCAGCAGCACCGCACTCACTGTAGCGGGGCTAACTGCCACATATAAGTACAAGACTTCTCCTTCGGCTGGCCTTGCCAGTGTTGGGAGATTAGCCAGCTGCTCTCGGAGCTGTTGGAAGGCTATCTTTTGCTCATCTTCCCACATGAGCTCCTTGGATTTCGGCAATTTCAGCGCTTTGAAGAAGGGCAATCCTTTGTCCGAGGCTTTTGAGATGAACCTGGATAGGGCGGCCATCCTCCCAGTGAGACGCTGAATGTCCCTTTTTGTCTTCGGCTCGAGAAGATCAAGAGCTGCTTGAACTTTGGCGGGATTGGCATCAATCCCCCTCTTTCTGACCATGAAGCCTAGGAATTTCCCTGACCTCACTCCGAAGACACATTTCTTCGGATTCAGCTTCATTTGGTGTTTTCTCAAAGTGGCGAATGTTTCTGCTAGGTCTGAAACATGGTCTTTCGCCTCTTTGCTCTTGACGATGGAATCGTCAACATAGACTTCCATGTTGCGGCCTTTTTGCTCGGCAAACACTTGGTCTACCAGCCTCTGATATGTCGCTCCGGCATTTTTCAGTCCGAAGGGCATCATTTTATAGTTGTACACCCCGACACTTGTAACGAATGCGTTTTTTCTCTCTCATCGGGGTGCATGAAAATCTGATGGTACCCCAGAAAATGCGTCCATGAAACTGAGCAGAGCATGGCCACTTGTCGAGTCGACCAGCTGATCGATTCTCGCAAGGGAGAGAAGTCCTTTGGACAGGCCCTATTCAGGTCCGTGAAGTCAACGCACATTCTCTAGGTGCCATTAGCTTTCTGAACCATCACCACATTCTCCAGCCACTCTGGATATTGGCAAGGCTCGAAGAACCCTGCATCTAGAAGTTTTTTTACTTCGGCTACGATGTCTTGGTTCTTCTGAGCAGAGTAATTCCGCTTCTTCTGCTTAATTGGCCGACATGTGGGGTCGACATTAAGCTTGTGAGAGATAAGGTTCGGATCAATTCCCGGCATGTCAGCTTCCGAGAATGCGAACACATCTCGGTTGTCCCGAAGGAGTTGGATTAATTCAACCCGGAGGCTCGGATCGAGCCCTTGTCCGATGCTGACACATTTTTCAGTATGTCCTTCGGTCAACGGTATTGACTCAGTTTGTTCATCTGACTCCATTGCTTTGGATCCAGGCTCTTCTGGTTCAGGTCTACTGTCAATATCAGCAGACTTCCCATTCTTGGGCTGATCTTCGTCCGAATCTTTCGGTCCAGCCGAAGAGCTTGCCTTTCCAGTCCCCAAAGATGTTCTCTTTTTTGGGGACCCTGAGCCGAAGCACTTAGGCCTTTCGGCCTTTTGGTACCTCGCTCCTTTTCTTTCTATTTTTCTTCCTCATCATCCTTGTCACTGCGGCGACTCTTGGATGGTTTGAGGAAATTGCATTCTCAGGCCTCTCTTTGGCTGCCCAAAAATTTTTCGGAGCGTCCTTCGTCTGAAACGTAGATCATTGCTTGATGATACATCGAGACAACTCCTTGAACATCATGGATGAGGGGTCTCCCCATAATGACGTTGTAAACTGATGGGGCATCGATGACCAAGAATTCGGCCATGATGCTTCGTCTCGCTCGATCTTGGCCTAGGCTGACGGGAAGAAGAATTTTCCCATCTTGATATGAAGAAGAGCCGTTGAACCCAGTGACCGGGTAGGGAACTGGAGTCAAGTGCTTGCTCTCCAACTTCAGCTGGTCGAATGCCTTTCGGAAAAAGTATATTCGCCCGCTGCCACCGTCTACCAGTGTCCGATAGACGTTGTGGTTTGCGATGTTTGTCATGATAACCAGTGGGTCATCATGGGGATACACCACCCCCTGCAGTCTTCGGATGTGAACATCATGTTCGGCACCGGAGACTGTGGTTTTCGGAACTCAACGTGATGAATCTGATGGGTGAGACCCCTCAGATGGCGCTTCAGTGCATTCCGAGAAATACCTCCGGAAATGGTCAGGATATCATTATTTCCTCCCTCGGGAGGTTTGTCCCTTTTCCGGTGGTAGTCCAGATCCTACGAGAGTCTCTCTTAGCTTTCTTTTCTTCGCGGCGTTCCGCGACATATTTCTTTAAATACCCTTTCTGGATCAGCTCCTCAATCTGGTCCTTCAGCTGAAGGCAATCTTCGGCGCGGTGTCCACGTGATTCGTGGAAATCGCACCAATGATCTTTCCCTTTCTCCTGATGCCAAGAAGGAGGCGGCTTCGGCTTCTTGAATCTTCCCTCCTCCCTCGTCGCACTAAAGATCCTAGTACGTGGTAAGGTGAGAGGGGTGTAAGATTCAAATTTTCCCAGATAGGGAGCCTTATCCTTCTTCGGCTCTGCGGTCGAGGGAGGTTCTGAGGCTTTTACCTTCCCTTTCCTCGACCCTGGAACTTCGGCTGGCTGCCCTTTTGGCTTTGCAAGCCCTGATTGAGATTGCAGCTTGGCCCTATTCCATTCCTCGGCTCGGATGAATTTATCCGAAGCGTCGAGGGCTTCTTCCAAGGTCTACGGGGGATGCATGACCATGAAATCCAGAAATTTACCAGCTTGTAAGTCGTTCCGTAGTGCGAATACGGCTAGGCTCTGATCCAAACTTGTGATTCTGGACGACTCGTTGCTGAAGCGAGTCAAGTAATCTCGGAGACTTTCGTCCTCCGCCTGCTGCAGTCCCATGAGTTCTGCAGTAGTTTTCTCTCGGCGGTTAGCCGTGGAAAATTTGCTCTTGAACTTGTTGGCAAGATCACTCTAACCCGTTATCGAGCCTTCCTTCAACCCTTTGGTGATCCATGATTGGGCAACACCTTTAAGGGTTGTAGGGAAGTATTTGCACCAGGTAGCTTCGGACCTGGGGTTAAGGTACATATGCCCCTCGTAAGAGGCTATGTGGTCCTTCGGATCCGAAGTACCATCGTACGTAATGTGTGCCGGAATTTTAACCGTCGGCACGTGTTCCTCCAGTATCCACCTTTGGAATGGGGAACTGGTCGGAACCATTACGGCCTTTCCTTTCTGCCGCGACGAAGGAACCCTACTTCTCCCTCTCAAAGAGGTGGATGTAGGGGGTATCCCTTCACGTGACATGGCGGGTTGAGACCCTTCTAGATAGGTGAGGCGGCTATGCACGCCTCCCTCCTTGCCACCCAGGCGCTCGTGAACGCTTCGGCGAAAGGCGTTATGGCTGTCATAAAGACCCTCGGAGTTCCGAGCTTTGGAGTTCTCAAAGTGGCTGGAGCCCCTTCTCTGTTCCTGCCCGGACCCACCTGGGTGTCCAGCCTTCGGCTTCCTTCCCCTTTAGAGGACAGGGCCTACCTTTCTCCCTCCGCACCGCTTTTTCTCTTCCGATCATGCGATTTAGGAGGAGGAGAAGGTGATTTCTTCGTGGATGGGAAGCGTCCTCCCAATGCGTTCATGAATTCCATGCACACAACCATAACCCTCATCACCTCTTCAATCGAAGGACCGTTGGTGGGGTTGATTTTGGCTATGAGTGAGAGTGCCTACTCTGCTGAGGACTCTCAGGCCGAGGCTCACTTTCTCTTGGTGAGTCAGCGTTTCGTCGTCTCTGTCGAGGAGGAGATTCCCATACAGTTTCCTCTCTTCTCGGAGAATGTGGAATCCTCAAGACTGAGGCGGATGGCTCAGGTGACGGCGTGGGTGATCGATGGTCCCTCGTCGTAATAAGAGTCATCTTTTTAGCTTTTTTTCAAGTTCTTCCCGTTCTTAGTCATTTTTTGCGTTGGCTAAGATTGGTATGAGATTTTGGCTGAATTTTTGTAAGTATCCCCACAGACGGCGACAAATTGTTTTCGGTCAGGAAACAATGGACCTTCAGCAGGTCCTTCGGATGAGTGGAGATGAAGCCCAATTCGAGTGATGACCGAATTGAGGATTTCCTGCACAGCTGAACAAACGTAAACTGGCCTCAGGGGTTGTGCTGAGGAAGGCCCCTCCGATGCCGAAGTCAGTACGTGTGTAAGGTAATGAGAGAAAAGCTATGCAAGATAATTTGTTGCTTGAGGCAATTTGTGTGAATGAATCTAATTGTACTAAAATATGAGCTTTTATACCTTGCTCCAATTGAGTGGACTGGGTTTGAGGAGTTAAATGGGCTGCCATTTAACTGGGCCTTGCTTTATCTGACTTGGCTTGTTGGATTGAGGGTTGAACCTTGCCTTGTGGGCTTGTACTGATTTTCATATATGGACCGGGCCCAATAAGTTATTTGGACCCCAAACACTCCTTACATTGTAATTTGTATCATAATTAAAAGTACTCCTTACATTGTAATTTGTATGAAAAAACTACCATCATAGAGATGAAACCTAATAGAAAATTTTGGAATAGTAATCCGAAGAATTAAATATTAAAAGAACAAAAAGAATAGAGAGATAATGGAAATGACAGTTGAATAAACTTGTCGTTGATGTGGATGAAAAATAACTTTTGTAGTAGTTACACGAAAATTTTGCTAATCTTTTTCTCAAGTAGTTACATGAAAATTTAAAAGATATTGGAGTAATGTTTCGAAACTAAATATTGGTTAATTTTAAATCAAATTTTGCAAAATAAAAGAAATATTGAAATGAGGGAGAAAATGGAGAAACAAGTTTAAGGATTCAACAATGGCATGTAAAGTGAGATGAGGAAGTTGAAAAGCTAAGGGGGATTGAGGATTGTGGGATTCCAACGACATTACGCTAACGGTAGCAGTCTCCCTTGCCATCAATAAGTTACTAGTTTCTAAGTTAACGGATTAGACAAAAAAAAAAACACTTGTGAGGTTTTGGGGGGATTTGAAGGGAGTTTGGGAGGGGAAAAAACTTTGCTTTAGTGTAGGTAGATAGATTTTTTTCCACGTTTACTTACTAATTTATTGTTCTTTTTTTATGTATTAGGGATTTTATTATGAGTATGTTAGTATGGTTAAAACAATACCGACATGTTCATCGGACAACCCTGACCTATTTGGACAACATATGAATTTTTGGGCTAGGCGCCAAGGCACAGACACTTCTCCAGAGCTCTTTTTTGGCTCGCTAGGTTATGGCATGAGAGGAGTACATGGTTGTAAGCTTGATCCCGATTCTGTTGGTATGTTCAACTATTTATTTTTTCCCTTTGTTTCCATCCTATATTGTATTGTATCCGACAAACATGCTAATTTGTTTTGCTTTTTTCATATGCTTCTTTTGACAGGTGAAAGTCTCGATCATGGAATTGTACATTGTGAGCACGTGAAGTGCTCGGAGTGTTCTTTATGGATTTCGCCAAGGGCTTAAATTGGACATTGAATGTTAAAGGCAACATTAGGATTACTTTATTTTCTTACTACCTTGCTTTTTGTTAGGTATGAAAATAGTTACTTTCCCATCTTTTGTCGTTAGTCGATAATATCGTAATGACATTGAGGCATAAATTTTTTATTTATCTAACACCACCCATACCTAGCGCGAATTTATTCCAGTTGAAAGTGAGGGGTTGATGAGATTCGAACCCGTGACCTCTGTGTCACGTTTGCTCCGATATCATGTTAGAGAATCATCTCAACTAAAAGCTTAAGCT